AACTATATCAATAGAATTATTGTAGCATTCTGAGAATCGGAAGAAGTACCTAATTTCAAATACAGTATAACTCAACTGTCAGTTTCAACTTGTTTCAAATTATGCCCTGTTCTCAGAGAATGGAAGTCTGTACATTCAGCTGTCCACCTGACTAGAGGGTTTGTTATTGAGAGATATGCCCCAGGTGGAGGCATCTCCAAAGCCAATATCTTTTCTTTATAACTGGTGTCAAATTGATGTATATATTAAAAAATCTTGGAAAATAATCTCAAAAAGGAAGTAACAGTCCAATGAGCCATATGTTCAGGGAACCTAATAGGTTTCCATTGGGACCAAATTTCACTTCACCTTTTTGTCCTTATGTGCAAATAAAAACTTATCTGTAAATACAATTAAAACAATGATGCAAATTTGGGAAGTCTATAGACTGAGAAGAAATTACACTAAATGACCAAGATGTTGGAAGGTAAAGGACTTGGTTATGTATTAGGAATACAAAACACAACATGGAATTGGACTAAATCTATCTGTTGGTTCATAGCTTTAGACACTTTGCTTCCACAGAATTGGTCAGTGAAGACTGATGAACAATTAATAAATTGCTTAATTTTGATGCTGATGGGGCATCTGAATCTTCATTTACATTAATAAATGTAACATTTCCCCCCCCCCCCCTTAGGTTGTTATTTTAACAGATTCAGAAGCCAGGGAATTTTCCAAATGCCAAATAATACTGAAACACTAAAAAGTCTGTATTGCAGCAGGGGCAGAGAAGCCTGCTTAGTGGTTTTCTAAAGATCGGAAATAAAAAAAGCCTAAGTATTTATGTACACACGAGTCTTCATCCTCTTAAGAATTCTCAATTTTAAAACGTATAAATATTCTGTATTATTTGAGTAGGTCTTAACAAGTTTATGTTCAGCTATTGTATTGGTATGCCTGGGCATATTCTAAATGGAAAAATGACTCACTCTGTGTGTTTGTGTAGTTTTTTAGTTGACCCTATAAATGATGATGATAAAAATGCCAAAATCTACTCATCATTTTTATTTTATGGGTTGTATACTTTTATCATGAAACATTACAGAAAAAGTTAAAGAGAATAATGAGACCCTTGTGTATATATGACAGCTTTATCAAATCTTCACATTTTAAAGGGATTTTTTAAAGTAACAATTGTATGTTGTAAAGTTAGGCGATGTTAAAGGTCAGCAGAAAAAAAAACCATACTGCATGGATTATTTTTCAGCTGCTTTCTTTTTCCACTTATGACTGGGGAAAAGAAAGTTTTATTATGTTAATTGAGACACCTGGTTAGTTAAATAGCACAGAACACGTTAGAAGGAACTGCATGCTTATTCAGTCCAAATTCCTATTTGTTATTCTTTGGAGCTGTGTTCTGTTTAAACTACTTAGGCCATAAGGATGTCAATGGTTCAATGTTTTAAGTCTCTAAGTAAATGTAAATCTGCAATAGTAAAAATATGGGAATAAAAGTGTGTTCTAAGCCAAAGCTTTAAACTCAACGATCAGCTTTTAAACTCAAAAAGTAGGAGAATTGCACCAAAAACCTCAGGTCCGGGGTCTGCCTCAACAGGTAGAGATAGGAAACCTTTTTTACCGGATTCTCGGGTTCGGGAATATTCTCCGTCCATGGGCAGCGAAGGCCCTGCGGTTCTGACCAGCTCCTCTCAGGCTAGAGAGCCGAGCAGAGCCAAGGTGGGTGGGGGGACAGGGAGCAAAGCCGCCAGAAATTCCCCAGAGCCCCGCTCTCCTACTCCCTTCCCCTGACCGCTGAGCGTCCTCAGAGAGGGTGGTGGGGAGGTTTCTTACAGGTTTTCTGTACCCCAAACAGTCTGCCGGGGTATCTCTGAGAGTCCCGAAGGCCCGTTAATCTTGTTTCGGGTCAAGAGGTCAAGCTTTGGAAGCGCAACTAACACTAAGTCCCTTTAATTGTCTTCCTTTCGGTGCTTATTAAATCGTGAAGGTCTGGTTCGGGCCTAGTGGGGAGCAGCGCAGGCCGGGGGTGGGGGGCGGGTAAGGGGCCGACCGCGGGGACTCTGCTCGAGGCTGCCCTAGTCCGCCGGGGCGCTACCGCGCGCGGGGTCGGGCCCCTGGATCCCGTCTTGGGGGACTCCTTTGCCTTTCTCACCCCGACTGCTCCCCACCCTTGGCTCTCCCTGGTGCGCCCCGAATTCGCTCGGATTCCCACTCGCTGCCCAGTGGGCTCAAGTCATCACAAAGCCAACAGACGCGAGGTTCAGGCTCCCGGGCGTCCGAGACGCGGCAACGGGAACGCGGGCCCTGGCCGCGCGCCCCGAGCTGCGCCCCGCGAGTGGGCGCCCCGCGCGGGCCGGCCCCGAGCGCCCTGGCGCCAGGTAGCATCGCCCGCCGCGCGGGTGCGGCGGGGCCCCCCGAGGGCGCTCGCGGGGGGCTGCTCCGGGCCGCCAGAACCTCGAGGGACGCGGTGCCGGTCGCTGGGTTACACTTGCCAGCGGCGGGGAGGACGCGCGGGAAAGCGAGGGATGAGGATGCGGGTGGCGGCGGCGGGTCCGCTGGAAAGGAGGGAGCGCCGCGGGCGGGAGGAGGGAGCGCGGAGGAGGGAGGCCGGGAGGAAGGAGGGAGCGCGGCAGGCAGGCGGAGGGAGGGCTGATTAGCATGCAGCAGCGCTCGCGCGCCCGGCTCCATTGTTTTAACACCTCCCCTCTCCTCCGCGCCAATCTGTCACCGTTCAGCAGGCGAACGCTGCTGCCTCAAATGCTGCTCTTCTCAAATGAGACGGATAATTAGTTGCCCCGCACGAATGCCGCACTCTTCTCACCCCTGATTGCTATCACCTTCTTGCTCCTGGCAGTTTTGACACCTCGTAATCAGCCTGCTGCTTTTCTCTTTTCTTCCCGACTTCTGCTTCCCTCCCCCTCCTTCCTTCCTGGTTTATTTATTTATTTATTATTATTATTATTTTAAATGCAATCCTGGTTCCTATTTGGACGAGGCCTGCGCCGCGAGAACCTTCCGCGTATACATGTGTGCATATAGATGCACACGGAAAGCGGGGTGCCTGTGCGTGAGCCGGAGGCGGGCTTGCAGTTTTGCGGGAAACACTCGCTTGCACGCGGAGAATTCTCTGCTCCTGGAGATATTTTGGGGAAGGGAGGAGTTGGGGAGAGGGACGGGAGGGGAGAGTTGGGGAGACCTCAATTAATGCTTTAAAGATCTCTTAGAAATTAACAAACTGGGGAGTCTCGGAATCTGCTGTCAGAAGCGTGTTTTCCCCTCTCCTCTAACAAGCACTGACAGTCTAATTACTGTAGCTATAAGCAGCTGTCGAGGCAGCAGCCCGGGAGAGAAGGCGCCACGGGCTGAGCGCACCCGGCCGGCCCCAGCGCCAGCGCCCGCCCAAACCGGCCCGGCTCCCGGGAGGACCGCGAGAAGGGCGAGGCCCTGCACCCCGGAGCCCCGCGCGCGGAAGGCGGGCCGGCGAGCCCGCGGACACGCTCGTCGTTTCGTATTTATAAAGTCTTTACCTTGAAGGTTAAAAGATGTGCAGAAAAAAGGAGGGGACTTTGGGGGAGTGGGAAGAACATCTCCTGAGCTTCCAGCCACCCCTATCCTACCTCCTCGAGCTCTCCCTTCCCCCGTGTTGGTAAAATAACCACGCAACCCGGGGCTGAGGGGGCGGGGTGAGCCAGGCTGGAGTGTAAGAAAGCAGATGTCCCCGCTGGCAGCAGCCTCAGCCTCCGGGGAAAGCTGCATTGGGGGGGGGCCCTCCCGAGGACATTCACCTCCCACTTCTCAGGCATCCCGCTCACAACTGCCTCGCCTCGGCGGGGGTGGTTTTTTCAGACTCAGCGTTTCGCGTGTGCAGCTTTTTTACCTGGGAGCTGTTCTTACCCGGCCACGCTTAGCAGATGCCAAGACGCAGCCCCAGCACGACTCTGTAATAACAGACCGAGGGAGAGACCTGGCGAGTGCCCACTCCACCTTCCGAGCTGCAGCCACCACCACCACCTCTGCAGTGTGGGAGCGGGGCTTGTTCTCCAGGCTGCTTCCCCTGTGGCCCAACAGGGCTGTGATGCCTCCAAAGTTGCAGCTTCGAGTAGCACTGGAACCCAAAAGAAAACAAGAGTTCCTCACTCTTACTATAAGTGGTCGAGGTGGGAAAAGGGTGCATTGCAGAAGAGAGGTCAGCTATACACTTTGAGTCATTTTCTGGGCTATGATTTCCTTTGGCTGTCAGCGAGCTAGTAGATCTATCTCAACCATGGGAGAGGGACTCTTCCTCCACTGGAAGACAGCGAAAAAGAACCCCCTTTCAGAAGATAGGTACAGTGGTGTATTCTGACTGGTACATGCTGGGAAGTTTTTATTTTTAATGTTGTGTATGTGTGGGTGGGGAGGAGAGAGAGGGGAGGCTGGGTGGGTGGGAGGTGGGGGGGAGGGAAGAGACTTGGATAATTGTCTAGGCATTTCCATTCAGCCCCAGTGGCAATGAAAGAAAGATGTACATGCCTCAGAACCCTTCACAGTGAATGCCTAATAATCACTATGTCACCTTGGTGAGGAAGATGTCAATTTGATGTGCTTGGCACCTTGAGAAGTTGAGGCACTGCTCTCATTCTTCCACAAGTTGAGGCTCTCCGCTGTGGCACAGGGACCTGCTCAAATTTCCCATGCTAAACCTTCTAGCTTTTAACAACACTTTCTTCAAAGAAGGCTTAAATGTCTGAGAGCTGCAAATCACTGTTTACTTCATAAAATAAAAGCCGTGCCTTGTTTTTTAAAAATCGGGGGAAAGAGAAACCTAAAAGGTAAGAATCATAGGGAAAAAAAAAGGAAAGGAAAGCCTTCTGAATTTGTTATCTTGTCTCTTAAGTGTCTTCAGGGGTCATCAATAAAGCTGCTTGCTAACAACAAATATCTCAAACAAGAATGTGAATATTATAACAATAAATATGGATAGCTTTTAATAGGGTTTTAGATTTACCCCCAATAAATGCAAACATATTTCTTTAGCAAGTTTAGTTTGAAAAATAATTTTAAAATTCGAAGTGATGCAATGGTTGTAATGAAATATTACCAGATCTGGTATTACCTTTGTTATCAAAGAAAACATGAATTTTATCAACTTCCCCCAAATATGATTTCCTTTATTTTTACTCAGGAACATAGAACACATTAATGATCACAACAGATAATTCTTTTAATATCTAAGTCATTTCATCATGTAGCTATACACACAGTAAAAATTAAAACCATTTTTATTACTAAAAAGCAATCTAAAGTGTTTAAATGATTCTATCAGTGATTTTATCACTGGGCAACAATTATTTTAGGTTTGGTATATACTTATGTTGTCTGCTATTCTCTATTATACATTTATTCAAAGAGAATATCACCTAGAGCATAAATAATCAAACATTTTAAATGAATACAAATGAACAATCCCTATAAACTTTTGACATCACGAAATTCAATAGCTCTAACTAGAAATCCAAGTATTAAACTTAGACATTTGAAACAAAGTATGGTTACGCAAGTCTGCAAGTCACTTTTTAATTTTGATTTAAGGTAAACACTGTAAACATGAATACAATGAAATAGTTTTGAACAAAATGACCTTTTAAGAGATAATAAAAAAGTTACAATGTAAGTTTAGAAAAAAAATTCAAACAGCTGTGACTGGATTTTTCAATAAATGATCCTGAACTAAGTTTGCAATCATTTGTATTCCATACATAAAATCATCACACAGTTTCATGTCTGTATTCAAATGTATTTTAAGTTTCTCCATTAAAATGTGAATTAAGGTGCCTGAGGAAATCCCCCCTGGATGTAATGGATGGTGGGAAAACTGCTTGACAGAATTCACATACTCGAGGTATATGCAGTTCTGAGTCTGTGCCATTTAGTACCGGTAAGTCACTGTCTTGATTAGGAAAGGGCTTCCAAAGGGGCTGCAGAAAACAAAACAAAAACATCTTCTGTTATTTGTATTTCTCAACTTGCACTGGACACCAAATTGAAAAATTGTGAATGAATTATATGCATATATGTGAAATTCCCTAATATGAAAGCAAATTACCCTTTTACAGAGTTATCATGAGGACATGATGTTATCTGTTTCATAAAGGGAACACTAAACTTTAAAAAGCCCTTAAAATACACATGCATATACTGTCTCTTCGCATATTTAAAAATCTTTCAGCTTTAACATCAGAAAATTTTAGTATCCCAACATTCCATAATTTTGGAACGCTATTAAATTTAGGGGCAACACTTAATAACTGAGACTTTAAAAACTACATTCTATTTTTTCCATTTTATAAGAGAAAACTTAAGTCATAAGGACTTTATTAATACATAGCAGACTAGACACGATGTTTCTGAATGCATTTTAATAGAGAATAAATTTCACCACTATTTATAAGCAAATACACAATGAATAAATCATATAGGAATAAGTGTTTTCATTTTTAAAGTTTTTTTCTTTTAAAGTACTAAAATTTTATTGATCAGAGTTTTTTGTTTTTGTTTTCAATCTCAATTACTTAAATTAGCCATTCAAAAGACTCTAACACTGGATGCATTCTTTTGACTTATTTTGCTCCTGGAATAAGTGCATGGTTTGGCCTTCTTTACTCTTTCTGAAGCTGAATAAAGTAAAACCTGTCAGTGGTTGCCCAATTAAAGAATTTGGAAAAATTATAATTCAAAAGAATTACCCCCATTATAAACAGTCTAAGTAGCATTTATATACCCTCAAACAACTTTATTTTAAAGAAAACATCCAGAAGGGCAAGAAAAAGCATTTAGTTCAATAGTAGATGCTCAATAAATGTTGACTGGAATATCTTATTTTCCTGATATTATTTTTTACATTTGCTTTTTTATCTTGACACAGATAAGTAGCTATTTCTGTACTCAGGAATATCTACTCCCCAAAATCAAAGGAGACCTTTTGCATTCCTATTACTAATATGTTTTTAAAGTAACAGCCTAGTCTCACACCTGATACAATATTAGTTTTCATTTCCTTAATTTCTTTTATTTTAGTTAAGCAATCATTTACATAAATAGCATATTACTAATTGAAGTATTTGGGTTTCACAACATCACTGTCTTCTTATAAATAATTTACTGGGCAGCTGTGTAGTTGGTGTAAATATACAAAGTCTGTCTAGGTACTAAGATATAGTCAAATATCAGTGCACAAAGATATTAACTGACTCAATTCCTTCTGGAATGAGTAACAATTTTATCATAAAAATAGTAATATTTAAAAGACATTGAAATCTGAGGTTTCATGATAAAGCAGGAATACTTGTTAATATATAAGCAAAAATCTAAAATGACTTAAATTTTACTTCTTGCAGTTTAAACAAAAGTACATTTGATTAATATGTAACACTCTAATGGGATATAAATAAATAAACTATTACTATATTCAAGATAATTCTTATTAAGATCTACAGCATCTATAGATTCTATTGGAGGCAATTTAGTTTCTAAACTTGGTGAGGCAATCGTCTGCTAATTTATGTTCAATGTCCGTATTTGTTCTTCTCTATTAGTATTCAGATTTGATCTCTTCATTGAATTCACTTGGGACCCCATCACTGACTCAGCAAAAATAAGAGAAAGAGAAAATCACAAAGAACAAAATTACACAGATATGTTTTAGACTTTTTTATGATAGTTGAATGTATAAAAAAAGTATTAACTAGTAATGCTTAATATAAACTAAAAATTTTAAATAACAAAAATTTAATTTCCTTGTTTTTATCAACTCAAGAATTTTTATATTTATACCAGCTTTATTAATACAAATAAAACTGCAAAAGGTTTTTAAGAACTGATTTTAAGAAAAATTCTTTCAATGCTAAACTGTAACATAGTCTTCAAAACAAACTAATTTCTTTGCTTTTTCTGCCAAAATATCAATTATCTAACCTTATGCCCCATGTCTTGTGACAGCTCAACACCAATTCTCCTGCATTTTTTAAGCTGAATACTTTTCCATCAAGTTGTAATCACATACCAGCTGTTTCCCTTGCTGTAGCAAGGGAAAGCAAATGCACAATGCAGGGTGCCATCTACTGAAACATGAATGCACAGACTAACTAGTAAAAGAACAAGCAAGAAATATAATGGAGAAAAAAGTAACAAGCATTAGAACTGATGTACTTCACAGCTCCACAGGACTTCTACTTGCAATAAATGAAATTGTTTAATTTGTTTCATTTAGTGGTAACTATATCACAGACTATGATGTGAAATAAGGTACAATGTGAACATAACTGAGTTTATAATTAAAGCTTTTTGTCAGAGAAGCCTAGTTTTCCCTACTACTAAAACATACCACAGCTTGACTACTGTTTCCTTTGTATGCTGATTTATAACTCTGTAAGTTATAAGAGTACTTATAAAATCATAGGGTATTCATCAACTTGTTCAGTTTTTTTTAAGTAAATTAAATTTCTCAAGGCAAAGAGAATCAAACAAATGTTTGCAAGTTATACAGACAAGAACATCAATCTGTATTTTCACACACTTCTGTTTACTTTAGCAATTATATATTTTTCATTTGCCTTCAGGCGTTAAATTTTTTTTTTAAACTAAGAGTTCTTTGATAGAACTTGTATAAAGAAGAGGGTAGGAGCGGATTGGGGGACTCCAAGTAGTCTGTGAGATTTAGAAACATTAGTGTATTTGATTAAAAATATACATATGCAGAAACTATTCAAAAATACATTGATATATATTTAATGCACATTAGAAACCAAAACTAAAACCTACAGATCTATATGCACTCTGTAACAAAGAATGTAATGGAAGTATTCATTCAAAGACAATTCACTTATTGTGATAAACAGGCATATACAATGCAATTATTTACTTGGGGAAAATCATGCATTCTCATAAATGTAAGTATAATATACATAATATTTAACACAAATTTAATTAAAAATGTTATTGTTTAATATAATGAAATTTAATGAAGACTCCTTTGACAATTCTGATGCTGAATAAAAAAGCTTTGAAAAAGGGACTAAGAAAGTGACACACAACAGATATGAATAAGGTACCATAAATTTTAAAATGTATTATAAATTTTAAGGTACTTATATATAATAGAGCTTTATCATATCATCTTTTATAATTTCATGTTATTTATTAGAGGACCTGAATTTCTCACTGAAAGCCTAAACTTTGGCTGGTCATTAGTTTAGAAAGGATGTTCAATTACCTAAAAGAGATGCATATCTATGCATGTATGGCAAAATGTGTGCTCACACATATTTGTTAATGCAAACCAGTTACCTGCTGTGGTCCTCGGATAGCTTTTCCTGGGGAATCAAGTGAAGGAAAAGGTACACCAGACGGGTCCTGAAGTGGGTATGTATTTATATATAACGCATTATGGTCTCCAGGTGGCAAACACGCAGCTCTATCCAGAGTTGTCCCAATACAAGCGTTTACAAGATTTGAAGGTTTTGCTTTGTTAGCTGTTTTAAGGTTTTGTATCGCTGAAGCTATGGGGTCAATTCCCTGAATATCAAATAAAGTTTCTGCTGTTTTAACAAAGTTTGCTGGGTTGTCTCTGAGTTCCATATTAAATTTATCCTGGCACATTGCCTCGGATGTAGCAGGAACAAGAACATTGGGTCTTTCTGGAGTGCTATGTAAGAAAGTAGAGTCACTGTCCATAGGTGGGAACTTGACATTGAATTTAGAAAGTGATTCAAAAGAAGTATCTTCTTCATCTCGGCCCAGTCCTCTTGGTGTGACAGATGTGATACATGGTGCACCTCTATTTATATCATCTTTAGTCTGAGGCTTAAACAGTGCTTCTTGTTTATCTGTTTTATCTGTACACTGTATAGGCACAGAACACTGTGTTTCTGCAGGGAAAGGAACACAAAAGGAAAGCAGTCACATTCCAATCATTCTTAAAAATCTTAATGTTGAATCAGCTTTGGTTTTTATAGCAACTTAAGACAATGAGGACTTTTTTACTTTAGTTACCAGCTTATGCAGAAATATTAGCAGTCTCCTGTGGGTGAATTGGTATGTAGCTTATTAGTCTCAATTTAACTACTTTGTCTTCTCCTATGCCTTTTGCTGTACGCTTTGCATCTTGTTCACAGTTACACTGTTTTACACTTAAAAAAACATTTGCTCGTAGTGTATACATTTAAACATTTTGTCAGTAATGGAAGCTGCAACTGTGAGCTTGCTTAGACAAATAAGTTGTTAAGGGAAAATCCTTACTAGACATATATACATTATACAGGTTAATAATCTGTATGAATTACACCATTTATTCCCTCCAATATCACTGTATGATAATGTATATCACCAATCAAATTAGCTATTTCCCACTCTCAATAATCCATGTGAGGAAATGATGGTGGTAGGGGTTAGGGAGCAAGAAGACAGAGGCAAAAAAAAAGGATGAATTTTTGAAATTCATGTTCAGGAAACTGCATGTGAATGTATGATTTTCTCATCATGTATATGTATATATACATTTATACAAATAAATAAATAAATGAAAAGCCTTTGTAGAAAATGGTTAGCTGTCAGGGTCTTTGTAGCTCATTTTATCTAGAAGTCATTTATGCACCAAATTCAGCTCTCCACAAATAGGCAAAAACTAGAAAACGAGTATACAGAGCTTCTGATGAATCTAAAGTGCAGCCATAGAGTCAGTAGATACAAGATTTTTGCTCTTATTCTCATTTTAAATTTATTCTAAGGAGCCCAATGATGTTTCCCTAATGTATAGCTGGTTAGAGCAGCAAATGTAAACGTATGGTAAAGGCAGGTATTGACATAAAACAAAACAAAACAAAACAAAACTGAAAGCATGAGAGCAGATAAAAATAAAAAAAATTCAGACATAAGAACTCAAAAAGCACTACAGTCTAATGTAGGGTCAACAAAGGCGACATTTCTCAATGCAAAAAAATCTCAAAACAGGCCTCCCTGGTGGCACAAGGGTTTAAGAGCAACCTATGAAGCTATCTGCAGCCACTGCAGCACAAGTTTGATCCCCGGCCAGGGAGGGGAGCTACCCACAGGGCGCAGCAGACCTCTCCTGACTCGCCCGCTTCTCCCCTCAGCAGTGTATTTCAGTACATCTGCCTGTTCTGTTCCCCACTCTGTCTCTGGTGAATCCTCTCACCCTCCACACCTCTGGCCTGTACCCCAGTTCTTATACACATAAATAAATCTTCTAAAAAACCCCAAATCAATGATCAAAGCACTCCTCGCCTTGATGCTATGACATTAGAGCAAGCTAAATTATGAGCCACAATGTCACCTCAAGGAGGTTTGAAGATTGAAGGTTGGTAATGTTGTATTTTTGATAGATGAAAAAATTATAACACCTTTCCATCTTTTGTCACAGCACTTTCCAACACAAGGTATTTTTCTTTTTGGATATAATTATAGTACAATACAACCAATTTCTTTGTTCCACCATTTTCTATACCTACTGCCTCATTTTAGCATTATCATCTTCTTTTACTGGATTATTACAACAGCCTTTGAACTATTTCTTTGCCAATAAATTTATCTCATAACCAATGCATTCTCTACACCATTCCTCCTTCTCCATGCCCCGAACTTTTCTAAAATACAAATCTGGTCATGTTACCTTCCTAATAAAAACTTTCATGGCTCTTGAAGGCTCTCAGTCCTCAGAAAAGTCATGTAAAACTGTTCATGATTGGTCACTGGTCACCTCTCCAAGCTGTCATCTTTCACACCTGCTTCACATTCTTGACTCCAGCTATAATGAAATTTGTAGAGTTCTCCAAAATAGCCATGCTTTCTTGTCTTTAGGTCTTTGCACACATGTTGTGCAGACTGCTACAAGTGTCCCCATGACTACTCTTTGCATAACTCTTATTTATTCATTGTATCTTGGTTTAGACATTGATTTCTTGGGATGGCTCTCTCTGGCTCTTCAAGACTGATTTAAGCATGACTCTTGGGTGCTGTAAGGACTCCCATAAAATGATGTTTCTTGAGGTCCTAAACTATGTTTTGTTTCGCAGTGATTTCCACTACCTTGTCCAGCACCTGGCACATAGTATGCTCTAAATAATTGCACTCTGAATGAATCTATCTTCTCTTCTCCACAGGGCCTAGTTTAACAATCTACATTTACCAGATAATCTGGCTGTGACTAGGAGTGATACAGTAACTTAGAACAAGTTTCACTGTTTAGAAGGATTTCTTTGTACTTTGAGCTTCTAAAATTCATTCATCCATAAGTAGTCATTTTTTCTGGTAGCTTAAGAGTGGCAGGAAATTCTAGGAAACTAATTTTCTTTGTAGTTTATATTTGTTAACTGCAAGTTAGAAAAATCAACTATTGAGGTAACTAAATTCCTAACTGAGAAGAAGGAAACCCTTATGAAAATGATCTTCACAGAACAGGGGAATATTGAAGAATTTGCTTCTGCTAACTGCAATTATTAGTAGTATTTGTATGTGCCACACATTTTTATAATCATTGTATGTGCATGAATTCATTTAATATTAAAAAAAAATCCCACGGTAAGTACTGTTATCCATTCCCACCCTATAAAAGAAGATACTGAGACATAGAGAAGGCTAATTCCAAGGCTACACAGCTAATGAATGTGTGGTAGATATGGGACTGGTATCCAGCAGCTTAACTCTAGAGCCTGTGCTTTGAAACCTTATGTAAATTAAACACGCTGGTTTCTATAGAGAGGAGAGTTCTCAACATGACAGAAATGTGTTCTGAATTTCTTTTCCAATAGCTAACCTAGTCATTGTATAAACATCATGGAATCAAACAGCTGTAATAAAGCAGATTTTTTTTTTTTTTCAGTATAGATAGCTGGCATACCGCTTAGCCATATTAAAATAATCTTTTGAATTATTCTGCTCAAGCAATGGGAATTACTATTTATCAAAGGAAAAAAAAAAGGTTTAAACATAAGACTACTAGAAAACCAAGGTTAGGAAATGAAAATTCAAATGAGGTACATGAAAACAGTTGCCATCCTAATACTATATTGAGAAACATGATCAGGTGAGCAAGTTGCTTTTCTATTTTGTCTATTTCAAGGACACTTATTTTTGCAAGGAAAATGAGAAAGATTTTTAGATTTCTAAATTTTAAGGACAGGATGCCCATTTAGACCACTTCTCAATTAAATTACCTTGTATAGTAATAAAAGAGATTCGATGGTTTGTAACATTTAGTTATTTATCTTTTCTCCTGCTCTCCAATGAAATAGGAGTTTCTTTTATGAACCAAATAGCAATTTTTATGAAGTCACATTTGCTCAAACATACATTTGTATCTTTATCCCTACTTTTGCCTTATTTTGATGAGAAAAAAAAGAAATTAAAAGGAAATGTACAATTCCACCAATTTAATTTTTATGAATTATATCTGTTTATGTAAAAGTAAAAATTAAATTCTAACAAAAAATAACCTAGGTACAATAATGTCAAATATATTGCTTCAAGATGTATCATGTAAATTACATTTGAAAGAGTCCCTCTATATTTTAATTCAATGTAGCACTCATCCTTTAAAATCCTGGGTAGGCACCTTTCCTCAAAATATTTCTTTTTCTTTCTTTCACCTTTTGATCCAACACTGCCAGAACATAATATTTGATGTTTTAATTTCTGTTTGAACCCAGCAAAACAACACTGGAGTCTATAGCACAACAAATCTGAAACATTTCAAGAATAATGTTGTATCTATTCTTTGTAACATATAAAGCATAAGAATGTTAGGAGGAGGCAGTTTTAGTGAGAAGAAATTGAAGTTAAAAACACTCTGTGTTCTAGCTGACAGACACATACTCAGATTTAGACCTGTGCAATTTAAAAATGGTCAAAGTATTAAGCCATTGATAATGGGATAGGTTCTCTGTGTAACAATGAATATTATCACCATTACAATGTTTTGATAAGATGCTGATGTTCAAAGAAGCATGTTTATGAATTCTAGGTACTACATTTTGTAGCTAGTGTATTTTAAATAAAAATAATTATTTACTTAAGAATTTACCTTTAGTCTTTAGAAAAGATGCATCGCTCATGAAATATAAAAATTAAGGTAGAAAATCAGTTATTTTTGGAGAGGTAGGCAAAAGGGAGGGGAAATAAATTATGTCTAACCACAAAGCTTGTTTTGCTTCTCTAATATTATACCGTGTACTTTTCCTGAAAATAAAATGGTAATAGTAAGCAAAAAGTGAATCTGCAGTATTAAGTCATTTTAAAAGAGTGTAGATATAAGAGTTGTAAGAAATGGAAAGTGATCTTTAATTAAAGGGGTCATAGTCAGCACTGCTGCAACATCTTTCAGAGTGAAAACTGTAAATCCCATCTCTTGGGAACTGTAAGTAGAATATCACAAGGGTAAAGGAGAATTTATTATTATAAACGATCAGTTTACCTTCCTTTTGTTTACAGAAGTACTTGGTAGCCAGATTCAATCCATGGTATTTTGCTATTCATATAATCAAACTACTGAAGCAAATACCAGGAAGCCAGTCTAGAGTTTGAAGGAAGGGTAGAGCTTTTAAAAAACATACTGCAACACATGTGTAAAACAGATGTTCCTCTTAAGTTATATTTTATACTAAACTTGTACTTTGTGCCTCCAACAGAATTAGTCTCCTGAAATTTCAAATGTTTATTTCTTCAACCAAATTACATGAATATCTCCATGGTGTTTAATTAACTTTCAGGCAAGAAATTAAAAACAAACCTGATGTTAAAATTTTATTTAGCTCATATATGATCATACAACTTCAAGATCACTTACTAACATATGAATTAATATTTAATAAGACCCCCATATAGTAAATGAAAACATTGAGAGATATATCCTATATTTATTTTGTGTTTTTTCCAAGGTAGAACTTCTCATTGAGATGCTCAGTAATTATGTCATTTCTACTCAATTCATATAGCACCACAGAATAAAGAGAAAGGGAGAGTCAATAATTAGGTAGTGTGGTATATTACAACCCTTAAATAGCACTGACTCATTAAGTGGTATGAGGCACAAGTTGCAGATTCTTAGTACTTAATAAACATTTAAAAATAATTTCACAATAAAAAAATAAATCCATTTCCACCAATAAAATTAACATTACTGTAATTAAATCAAATCTTACCAGTTGCAGTAGCTGGTACATTAAGTTTGTTTAAGTGATCTTTCTGAGCTTTTGCTAGCATGCATATTCTATGAAATTCTTCTTTCAGATCCCAGAAAGTCTTTTCTATACATCCCCTAAAAAAAAAAAAATCAGTATTTTAAAATAAAAAAATGTACTTCAAATATTTTTAAAAACCATAGCACCCTTTTTAGTACTACAAAATAATTATTGGAAGGTTAAAGCTAAAACAAATTATCTTGAATTCCTACACAATGTCTTCAAACACAACTCTAATGTTTGGAGAGTCAGGTACAAAATAAGTGATAAATGACAAGTCCTGATACATAAATGTAGTACAGACCAGCTTATGTACTTATCACACTTATGCTGGCTGTCTCTTTCTAAAGCATATTAGAAATTCCAATGCATTGATTTTGTTTTCTATAAAGATCTTAAATAAAAAAAAATTAAATATCACTCACTTTGATAGGTACACATTAAGATTCATCCACACATATCAATGTGGTCACAATACTTGGTATATTTCAGTTTTAGAGAATTCAGAGTTTAGAGTCATCTCAGCTATTAAACTGTATGACTTATTTAGGTCATTTTATTTATTTATTTATTTTTATTTAGGTCATTTTAATATGGAGGAATCTAGAACTCGGTCTCTTCTAATTCTAAAAGGCTGCTTTTCGTTACAGCTGTTAAGATTTAAAAATAAGTAAATATATGTCAATATTTAAGATTTTCAGAGTTGGCAAAAAAGGATGCAGAACTACCTTTCATGGAATAAAGGAATGCCAAGACTCCTTGATGAAGTTTCTTTCCTAGGAGAGGAAACCTCTTGTCTTCTGACCTTAAAAGATACAAAATGATTACCATTTTAAATTGCTTCTAAACTCAAATGAGAATGGGTTAACAGAAAACATATGGAAAATAATTTATCTTTTTTATTGAAAAATAAATTTAGATAGCTCACAAATGCATATAATATACTACAGATTTTTTTTTTTCTTTACATGAGATCAGGGAAAGAGAAAAATAAAGGCAGAAAAGCAGGACAAAGACTTGAAGTATTTCTGGTAACTTCTTCAACTATTTTCAGTACTGATAATTCAAGGAATTTCCTCATTTTTAACAAGTGCTCAAAACTGCTACTCTGGTCACTAAGTACCTGGTATGACCAGGGGAAAAAATGGTATTTACTTTTTTTCCATAATTGGCTTATACATTTAAATAAATGTCTTTGTATTTTGTTATAGAGTCTTTGCTAAGAAATACAGCTTTATTAGAGGGAGGAAGAAAGAAAACCATGTTATAGTTCCTTCGCATTTACAAGCATTTTAAAGATAGTGTTAATTATGTATTTAAGCTACTTCAACACAAGTTCTTGCCTTTCACTCCCACCTTGTGGCTTACACTGGTATTGCATGTATTTTGACATTTAAAAGTGAACATTCAAGAACATGTTGCCAGTTGTATTTAGATTTTTAAAAAATCTTTCACCATACCTAGAGTACTTTAAAGCTTCAAGTCAATAAATTCAAAACTAGAAGAAGTGCTAATATTATACAATCACTAATTATAATCTGACCAAAACTACACAGGTCTTAATTTAAGTTCAAATTCAAACCAGTGGACATTTCAATTTAGTGACTAAATTTTATTCAATTCTTCAGTTCATGGTAGCTATTATTAAAATGGGCAATTTCCCCTCATTGCTTCATATCATGTGAGTACATTTCTGTTTAATGTTGCTTTTCAAAGGCAATTTCAATTTCCTAGGAGTCTTATTTGTTCTTTAATAAAAAAACTTGATTTGTTTTTCTTAAAATTAGTATCTTCTCCAATTTATTTTAGTTTATTGCTCTGATTCACCAGTTTTCTCTAAATACCAGTGTTTGCTTAACATTTCTAAAATAGGGTATTACCTAACAGTAATTAGTAAAATAAAATCTTGGCAACATAAGCCATTTGTGATTTTATATATTATGTTGTCAGATTGAGGTAAAATAAAAATCATTTGCTGTTGAATGCTTTTTATCAGACAAACATTTAGGTCAGGGCTTCTGGATTGAAACTGCTTTATTGAGCTTTATAAAGCAGTCACATCAGAAGACATTTTCACATTCACAGTTTGTTTTTAAAAGTGGTAGACAGGTTTTTCTTTAGTGTTATGTGTAATTAGAACACTCAATGATTTTAGTATGGACTAAGAAAAAGGCAACATTTTAAAGCTAGTCAGCCATACAGGATGCTGTATAAAAACAAACTTTTAAAAGATTATATTAAATCTTTAACAAAATCAGAGAGTAGTAAAGAATAGAAATACTTGACAATTTAATGTTAAATCATAATACAAAGATTACATCAAATGGAATGATTAACCTTTCAAAATGTCCTACTGGAAATTCTCAACATTAAAAAAAAATATTTTATTAGATGCTAAAATCAACCAAAATGAAGTACCTTTTAATTTAAGCCTAAAAATGAAGGTAGTTCCAGAAGGTAGTAAAGAAGAGAATACCCGTTTTCTCATTTAATTTTGACAAAATCGAGGAGGGATAGGTTCTAAAGCTAAAGAAACTGTAAAAATTAGTAAGTGGATGAGAAGAAAAAGTGAAGGAAAAGGTGGGAAAAGAATTATAAACTTCTGTTTGGCTTAGCAAATAATTTGTGTCAAGTCTGTGATGTTTACATTTGCTAACTGGTGTAGATGAATTTATCTAGAGAAGATTCCTTGTGTGTATTGGTAGGGAAAAAAGGAAGGGCATAATTACTGAAAAATTTCTATTATTTTTATTATTGTTATAAGTAAAGTTTTAAGGGGCCTCCCTGGTGGTCTAAGGATTAAGTCTCAGTGCTATCACCATGACTGCCACTACAGGTTGAGTTCCAGCCCCTGCCAAGGAGCTTACCAACATAAGGTAAAATGTATTTCAGAAAATCTGCCTGCTCTGCTCCCTATTCTGTCTCTGGTGAATCCTCTCACCAGAGGATTCCCGTCCCTGCACCTATGTCCTACACCCCAGCTCTTCTACACAAATATAAATAAAATCTAAAAAAGAAAGGTATTAATGACTGTATTAAAGAAAGTTGTGCACTATCATTCATATTACGTAAATCTGTTGATATATTTCAAGTGTAAAATGTAGATCCCCAGCAACCCAAGAAGAAATTTCAAAATAGGAACCATTCAACATGTTAGTTGCAAAAAAAAAAAATAAATAAAAGTGACATAAATAGGGTTCATTTAAAAAGAATGCAGCATGTTAATGCTATTTCCATAGTATCTGAGAACCTTCTGAAAAGGATCACGTATTAGTCGAAGGATTTAGGATTAATTATTAGTCAATGGCAACTCCAAGATATCCCCTAGAAACTCAGACTTTCTTTCTTATTTTTTTTTTAAAGATTTACTTATTTATACAAGCACTGGGGTACAGGCCAGAGGGACGGGAGGGTGAGAGAATTCACCGGAGACAGAGCAGGGAGCAGAACAGGCAGAAGGACTGAAGTGCACTGCTGAGGGGAGCAGCGGGTGCGACAGGAGAGGTCTGCTGCACCATGTGGGCACCTCCCTGGCCAGCCAGGAATCGAACTGGTGCCGCAGAGCTGCGACAGCTTCACAGCGCTGCACTGTGCCCAACCCACTGCATCACCAGGGAGGCCCCAGACTTTCTTTTCAATGTCAACTTGTTTTAGATATTAATAAACTTCACTGAGTTTGTTGAGTATCCTAGAGAATAAGTAAACATCAGAAGAGAAAAGTTGTAGTTTTCTTTTTCATTCTCAAATATTATTTCAGTGAATCCTGTGCTTCAGGAAGCTGAAGTTATTGTAACTTCAAGTAAGAAAGGAAGAGAAGTTTGATCATTTTAGACTTTAAACATTAAATCATTCAACAAATGCATTTGAGATAGTAAAACTTAAAATACTTAACTTTATATACTGTTTCAAGTACTAGTTTAGAAATACTGAACTTGGGCCTCCCCGGTGGCGCAGCGGTTGAGCGCTGGGTTGCGAAGCTGCCACGGCCTCTGTGGCGCCGGTTCGATCCCCGGCTGCTCCCCGGCCACCGGAGGAGGGTCCCACATGGCACGCAGACCTCTCCTGCCGCCCACTGCTCCCCTCAGCAGTGTACTTTGGTCCTTCTGCCTGCTCTGCTCCCCGCTCTGGCTCTGGTGAATTCTCTCACCCTCCCGTGCTTCTGACTGTACCCAGTGCATGTATAAACAAAAACAAACAAATAAATAAATAAATGAATAAAATACGTGCCTCTTTAAAAAAAAAAAATAGAAATACTGAACTTGTGGAATGAAGAGAGTCTTAACAAATTGTATTTTTCATTACACTTCCAGTATGATGCTGGATAAGTTATTCAATAATTAAGATAAATCCATTTGAAACAAAAGATTCTAAGAAGAGGGCGCAGCGGTTGAGCACTGCGTTGCAAAGCTGCCCACAGCCTCTGCAGCACCGGTTCGATCCCCGGCTGCTCCCCGGCTACCGGAGGCAGGTCCCACGTGGCGCGCAGATCTCTTCTGCCGCCCACTGCTCCCCTCAGCAGTGTACCTCAGTTTTTCTGCCTGCTCTGCTCCCTGCTCTGGCTCTGGTGAATTCTCTCACCCTCCCGCGCTTCTGACTGTACCTAGTGCTTGTATAAATCAATCAATCAATCAATCTTTAAAAAAATTTAAAAAAATAAAAAGATTCTAAGAAGATTCCTTAACTCTTCTCTTATGTGAATTAGGAGCACTTTGCTTTATTTATTTATTTTTTAATAGAGGCATGTTTTATTTATTTATTTGTTTTGTTTATACAAGCACTGGGTAGTCAGAAGTGCGGGAGGGTGAGAATTCACCAGAGCCAGAGCGGGGAGCAGAGCAGGCAGAAGGACCGAAGTACACTGCTGAGGGGAGCAGCGGGCGGCAGGAGAGGTCTGAGCACCATGTGGGACCCTCCTCTGGTGGCTGGGGAGCAGCTGGGGATCGAACCGGCACCAGAGGCCGCAGGCAGCTTCGCAACCCAGCGCTCAATTGCCGCGCCACCTGGGAGGCCCAGGAGCACTTTGCTTTAGTGTAAATCAATTCAAGCTTCTCATAAATGGGTATTACATAAAAAATATGTTTAAAGGCTAGTTGAATATGTAATGATAACTATGCAGGAGGAAAGAAAGTCATTAGTCCAAAACCAGGTTTGTTGTTTTTATGGTGTAGTTCAGGATACGTTAGATATCAACATTCCAAAGAGAGAAATGTACACATTCCCTAACACCTGTCTTTTTTTTAATATTTGGTACTAAAAATTAAAGTGTTTTATTCTCTAAATAACTTTTAAGAATACAGAAGTGATTATAGACAAGATATGGATTCAACCTAAGTGTCATTGATGGATGTAGAAAATGTGATACACACACACACACACACACACACACACACGTTTGGTTATTGTGTATATATAAATGTATTAATATTTTAAGGCTGAATATATTAGTTTTATGAAGAAAACCCTGTCATCTGAAACAACATAAATGAACCTGAGAATATTATGCTAAGTGAAATAAGCCAAGCACAGGGCCTCTCTGGTGGCGCAAGGGGTTAAGCACCGCACTATGAAGCAATCTGCAGCCACTGCAGCACGAGTTCGATCCCCGCCAGCTAGGAAGCAATCCACATGATCCAGCAGACCTCTCTTGACTCGCCCGCTGCTCCTCTCAGCAGTGTATTTCAGGCTGTCTCTGCCTCTTCTGTTCCCTGCTCTGTCTCTAGTGAATCCTCTCACTCCCCGCATCTCTAGCCTGTACCCCAGCTCTTTCATGCATAAATAAATAAATCTTTAAAAAAAAGAAAGAAG